CCCAACCCCCCTCAACAAGAAAATCTACTAGAACTTCTCTTGTCCACCCTCATCAACATCATTTCGAAAATGAATGATGTAGCCCTACCGAACAACGTCTATCAAAAACTGACTCAGCTGATTTCGATTTTCAACAATGTTCCCAACAATCCTACAGTGGAATTGTCGCAGCATTAGATTAAAAAAAGCTGAACTGATTTTTCTCATAAATAAGCATAACCCCTTGATTTTTGCTGTCCAGGAGTCACGCCTACTCCCGGGCTCCCGCTTCAGGGTTCCTGGTTTTGCGTGCCTCCGGGATGATAAGAACAACGGAAAATGCGGTAGCTGCATTTTAGTTTCGAGATCCATCCCATATTCCCAGATCACCCTCCCTCCACATGACAGTAACTGCTTCAATGTAGTGGCTGTTAGAGCCTTAGATATATCTTTTTTATCCGTTTATATACCTGATCCTAACATGTCCATCCTAACAAATCTATTCTCAATCATTGGTGCCCTCCCCCCTCCTGTTGCTGTATTGGGTGACTTTAATATCCACCACAGTTCATGGGGTTGTTATCAGAATGATTCCCTATCCTCCGCCTTCCTTGACCTAGTTGATGACCACAACCTCTGCATCCTCAATGACAGCTCCCCCACACGTAGAGTTCTTCCTGGCCAGAACCCAAAATCCGCTGTAGACCTTTCTCTATGCACTCCAGCCACCTCTTCACGCCTCACATAGTTTACGCTATGCAATACGCATGGTAGTGATCATTTCCCCATCCTTATGTCCTTTCCTGACTCCTCTAATTATATACTCCCCCCTCGCAACCCTCGACTTAAATTTAATTTGTCTAAGGCGGACTGGACCCGGTTATCTCAGTCTGTTGACGCTCTTTCGGTTAATCTTCCCCCAGCCCTCCATGAGAACATCCATTCTGCTTACTCCATCTTTAGGAATGCTTTACTTTCAGCAGCAGAGACAGCGATTCCTACTAAAAACGCTTCTAGGGGTAAAATCCCATCACTTCCCTGGTGGGACTCTGACTGCTCTGATCTATGTAAACAACGTAAAGAAGCCGAGAAGAAGTACGCGTTACACATGTCACCAGCTAATTACATAAGTTATAAAGAAGTAGCTGCAAGGACAGTCAGAACACTATCTGAACGAAAGAGACTGGGCTGGAACATGTTTTGTGAGTCTCTTTCTCCCAGTTCCCGCCCTTCTTTGGTCTGGAATAATGTCAAGAGATTTCGCGGATCCGTATCTGTAGACCACAATTCTTCTTCGAACGACCCATCGGTTTGGATCGATTCATTCTCATATCGACTTGCTCCCCCTTACGTTCCCACCTTAGCTGAGTCCTCTTCCCTTCCCCCTCCGCTTTCACCTACTCCTGATACTCTTGTGGCCCCTTTTTCTCCGGACGAACTCACTGCAGTTTTGGAGTCTCTTAAGGACTCGTCCCCGGGAATCGATGGAATACCTTATTCATTCATTGTCAAATGTAGCTTTACGTCCAAATTAATATTTCTAAACATATTAAATAATATTTATTCTTTAGGAATCCCTCCAGATGAATGGAAAACCCAAATAATCGTCCCTATCCTCAAGCCAGCAAAACCTAATAACGAGTCAAGTAGCTACCGTCCCATCGCCCTATCATGTACCATGAGCAAAATTTTAGAACATCTTGTTAAAAATAGATTGGAGTGGTTTGTGGAGAGTAGAGGCATCCTCCCTGCAAGTCAATTTGGCTTTAGGAAGGGATTGAGCACTATGGATAGCGTAGGTTGCCTTGCAACGGATATACGCATTGCTCTCTCTAAAAGAGAGTCCTTGGTCGGGGTTTTTCTTGACATTGCATCCGCATACGATAATGTCCTTCTTCCTGTACTCAGGCAAAAAATGCTCCAGCTGAGTATCCCAGAGAAGATGGTTAACTTCATATCTAATCTATTTTCATCTAGAGCCATTTTAATTTCTTGCCAAAATTCTTTACTTCCTCCTAGACTTCTATGGAAGGGCCTCCCTCAGGGATCAGTTTTAAGCCCTCTATTNTGGAGTACGCGTTACACATGTCTCCAGCTAATTACATAAGTTATAAAGAAGTAGCTGCAAGGACAGTCAGAACACTATCTGAACGAAAGAGACTGGGCTGGAACATGTTTTGTGAGTCTCTTTCTCCCAGTTCCCGCCCTTCTTTGGTCTGGAATAATGTCAGGAGATTTCGCGGATCCGTATCTGTAGACCACAATTCTTCTTCGAACGACCCATCGGTTTGGATCGATTCATTCTCATATCGACTTGCTCCCCCTTACGTTCCCACCTTAGCTGAGTCCTCTTCCCTTCCCCCTCCGCTTTCACCTACTCCTGATACTCTTGTGGCCCCTTTTTCTCCGGACGAACTCACTGCAGTTTTGGAGTCTCTTAAGGACTCGTCCCCGGGAATCGATGGAATACCTTATTCATTCATTGTCAAATGTAGCTTTACGTCCAAATTAATATTTCTAAACATATTAAATAATATTTATTCTTTAGGAATCCCTCCAGATGAATGGAAAACTCAAATAATCGTCCCTATCCTCAAGCCAGCAAAACCTAATAACGAGCCAAGTAGCTACCGTCCCATCGCCCTATCATGTACCATGAGCAAAATTTTAGAACACCTTGTTAAAAATAGATTGGAGTGGTTTGTGGAGAGTAGAGGCATCCTCCCTGCAAGTCAATTTGGCTTTAGGAAGGGATTGAGCACTATGGATAGCGTAGGTTGCCTTGCAACGGATATACGCATTGCTCTCTCTAAAAGAGTCCTTGGTTGGGGTTTTCTTTACATTGCATCCGCATACGATAATGTCCTTCTTCCTGTACTCAGGCAAAAAATGCTCCAGCTGAGTATCCCAGAGAAGATGGTTAACTTCATATCTAATCTATTTTCATCTAGAGCCATTTTAATTTCTTGCCAAAATTCTTTACTTCCTCCTAGACTTCTATGGAAGGGCCTCCCTCAGGGATCAGTTTTAAGCCCACTACTATACAACTTGTATACCTACAACCTAGAACTTTCGGTAAATTCATTCTGCAACGTACTACAATATGCGGATGATTTGGCTCTATACGTCTCAGCCAGGGACTTAGGGGATGCCTCTGCTCGCCTCAACTCCGCTATTAACTATCTCCATGACTGGTTAAGTAATCATGGTCTATCCCTTTCAGTTGAGAAGAGCAGTGTAGTGACATTTTCTCGCATGCGATCTATTCCCGACGTCATTGTCTCGTTTGATGGCAAAATATTCCCAGTGCGAAACTCAGTAAAATTTCTCGGAGTCGTTCTTGACTCGCGTATGACTGGTGTCCAACACATTAACCACATCATTAAAAAGTGCGAAAAGAACATCCATATTCTTCGCTCCCTGTCAGGCGTATGGTGGGGATCACACCCCTACACACAAAAACTGTTATATAACGCCTTGATTCGCAGCAATTTTGATTATGGCACTCACATTCTAGATTCTAGAACCTTGCAATAAGTCTGCCTTAACCTCCTTGGACAGGATCCAATCAAAGTGCCTACGTATCATAATCGGAGCAATGAAGTCTTCCCCCATCAACGCCCTTCAGGTTGAATGTGCAGAACCCCCCTTGCACTTGAGGAGACAAAACTTATCGGACAGATTCATTTACAAAAATTTTCAGCTTTCTAACCACCCCCTTATTTCAAAGTTACATACTCTTTCGGAACACATCTATTTCAACAATTACTGGAATCATAAGTCCCACCCATGCCTCTTCACCAGTTTTGTTAAGTTTATCAGCCTCCCCTGTCCCGTCTAGTAATGTAGGTTAAATCCATTATTCCTCACACCTTATAATGCAATTCTATACCGTCCGGACATTGTTCTAAATATCGGAATAAACAAAGATGACCCCGGTGCAAACGCCAAATTTAATTCTGTCGTCAATAGTAAATGGAACAGTTGGCATACTATGTTCACTGACGCATCAAAAATAAAAGCTGACGGCTGTGTAGGTTTCGCTGTTTGGATACCGGAGTACAAAATCATTTTAAACTTTAAGTGTCCCCCTCAAGCCTCGGTTTTTACAGGAGAGGCGCTAGCTATCCTTGAAGCCCTGATGTATATAGAATCACATAAGCTACACAACACGGTGATATTCACTGACTCTAGAAGCTGTCTACAGGCAATCCTTGCAAACCAACTCAGATCCGACTCCAGACATAGCGGTATAGTGGGTAATGAGGATGCTGATCAGTGTGCTAAGGATGCCACGACAATAGGTAGTGATATTCATTACACAACCTATGCATAAGATCTAACGTCTCTAGCCAACGCCGATCTTATATCGCGCTGGAATGAAGCGTGGAACCTTTCGAAACGCATTAAAGGTAAACATTACGCGGATGTTCAAGACTCGTTGCTCGTTCGGCCTTGGTTTTTTAAATACAGGAAAGCCAACAAGAGAGTCACGTCCACAATATGTAGGTTAAGATTAGGTCATGCTTGTACCCCGGTTCACCTAGCTAAAATAAGGGTCAAGGATAGCTCCCTCTGTGAGTGTGGGCTCGACGAGGTTTCAGCAGAACACATTTTCTTTAACTGCCCTAGAAGACCTTCCCTTTACGAAGTACTACCGGACTTATCCCCAGACCGACGAATTTCAAATCTTTGTTGAGCCTTGTACATACAACTTTTGTAAATATTTTATGTGAATATGTTCACCAGAATAACATTAGACTATAAGTTGTTTGTCCTTACAAATCTTCTGACAATCTGTTCTGTAACATATATATATATGTATGTATATGTATATATACATATATTGTTTGTCCTGTTTTAGGTAAGTAATTCGACAGTTGATTACTTTGTAAAATAATAATAATTAAAATTGATGTGACCTTGTGCAATCACGAAGCCCACCCAACAAAAAACAATCAAACCACACCAAAAGACATCTGAGCATAACCAAAACCACAGACTACAAAACTTGACTTTGGCGAAATCAAAAAGGACCGCCATTACAAAAGAAAATGAAATGGACAATGTAATGAGTTTTATGTAGCCATATTTATAGCTGATAACTTTAAAACAATTCACAGAGAAATGGGCGTTTATATTATTCTATGAGGGCTTTAAATGACTAAGCCAACTTGAAGAGCCTGTCTTTATAACGAAGCTCTCCTCTTCGGATCTTCTGTTCGCGCTCAGTACGATCATTCCATATCAAGACACCTAATGTGCACATAGGTACTATGATCGTTAAAATAGCAAACCTCGCTGTTCTAAAACACGGTTTGAAATATTCCACTTGACAGCTCTTCATTGACAAAAACCTTTGGATGGCCGGATCAAACTGAAATAATTTAATTATGATACTGAAATTATTTTATTATGATACTGAAACATTTTAATTATGATACTGAAATAATTTAATTATGAATTATTGAATTATTTTTGTTTACATAGCTCGTTAGAGGAAGAGAGGCTGCCCCAGAACAACTTGGCGTCGCTCGGTGGAGCAGGAGCTAGGGGTCTTGGGCATGACGTGGGAGGAGCTAGAACAGACTACCCAAGACCGATGTAAATGGTAAAATTTGATTCAAGCCCTACACCCCTAAGAGTAATAGGAAGGAATGATGATGATGATGATGATGAACATAACTCGTGAGGCAATATGGTTGTTGATATAATACTGCATCTATAGATTTGTCAAAAGTAACTACACTGGAATGTACTATTAAAAATTTTAAATATAATCAAAACTAAACATGTATTATTATAGCATTTTAAACGATGAAAAGAAATAGTGGGTGATATTGCCATATCTTGCCACACATCTCACATCTTTTATGACAGCAGGGTCATGATCATTATATTATTATGCAGTTTGTTGTTATTGATTAAACAACCATCCCAGTATAACAAGTATTTTCTAATATAGTCATTTCCAAAAGGATTCATACGCATAGGATACAAATAGTAGAGGATATTGGGATTTATTCAACACAGCTACCCACACCATGCAGACATGTGGGACATATGGATTATCAATATCCAGACACACTAGTTTCTTTGGAAACTTAGATCAGTTCTTCTGCCCATTGCACTATCAATACTAAGATCTACTAAGACTACAGTGGTAGTCATCTAAAGGCCACTTATCAAAGCTAGCTTTATGGCAAAATGTAATCACTTCATTATAGTATTGTAAATACTCTCTTTTCAGTGAAATTATATAATTTTGTTCCATGTTTTGTGAGACTACATCATCCAGTGTCAGCGAGTTTCCATATATGTACCATAGGCATCCGTTACATTAACAGGAGGTTGGTTGGTCATCTGGTAATATAGTGATCAAATATAAACAGATGACCAATAAAATAGTTACTTACAACATAACCAGCCTCTTGAGAGTGTTTACAAGGATCACTTTTTAGTTTCAGAAATTCCTGCCTAAATTTAGCTCTCCTTTCTATTTGTTTCAGAATTATTTTGCAATCAGTCTCTGAAAAACCATATCCAGACATTTTTGTAAAAACACAAGTTCAATGTTCTGTGTTGTAATTAAATCACTGAAATATGAAATGTATATAAGTCTATGAATTAAATACACTGACTTTTTCTTAAAAATGACAGTTTAACCTGACAGTAATATAAGAGCACTAAAGAGGTAAAGAATATAATACAAAACTTTAACATTATATTTATTATATATTTTCTATTGTGTACAAGTTCATCAGTGATTAAGCTAGCTTGAAGAGTCTGTCTTTGTAACGGAGCTCTCCACTGCGAATCTTCTGTTCACGCTGCGTTCTCTCGTTCCATATCAAGGTACCAAATGTAAACATGGGTACAACAATAACAAAAAATCCAAACAAACTAGTTCGCTTGTTTACGGTAAAATATTCAAACTGTGTTACTTTCATGGACAGAAACCTTTGCAATGCTGTGTCGAACTGTAAAAAAACAATATTAGTGCAATGGTAAACATAAACTTTAGGGAGAAAAAAAATTACGTAATTGAACACTTACAACATAACCAGCCTCCGAAGCGTTTTTCCAGGGGTTTGTTCTTTGTTTCAAGAACTCCCGTCTCATTTCAGCACGCCTTGAGGCTTGGGTTTTAATAAGGTTGAGTTCTGCATCAGATAAGCCGTAGTTATTTGCCATATTTACAGTCAATTACCGAATTTAATCGGCAATTCGTAATGAAAACTATCTGGACCTATTTTCATAGACTTATTTGATTGAGGCAAGTTTATAGGTTGGTTGGTAGTATGAAGTTTGAAGTACTTGACATTGACAGTACAATGTTTTTTTTATTCTTGATCAGCAGATGAACTTGCGGCTCACTTGGCATTAAGTGGTTCCGAAGCTCGCCCGACGAATAGACACAATCGAATTGAAACTTCGTTTTGAAGTACATCAATATTGATAATATAATATACAGCTTGGTTAAAAGAATGTGTTTAAAAAACAATCATTCACCTGGTGAAATAATGTGTTATATAATGAATTGTTAAAGTGTAATATGGAATCACTGTGGAAATATAATTTTTATTGTCAACTTATTATGGCCATAAGTACGGAATTTTCTATTGATATATGTGGAAATTGAAGAATGGACCTAGTTTCTTCGTATGTTAGTGTTGGATTTTGGTATTTGGTAATGCGACTCAGTGGCACACAATGCCGAATTATGCTGAAGCTTAATTGGAACGTGAATTAGTTTTCAAATGCATCAGCAGAGTGCGCTAAGTACAGTGTTGAAAAAAAATATTCATGGAGTTAGCAACCTCATTAATATATAAATAATGTGGTAAACAATAATAATTGGTTGAAAACTATTTACGGTTATTTTAAGTAATTTGGATTTTGATTATTTCATTACATTTTTTTTACCTTTTGAGTAATTTTTTAAAATGAGTTCCAAGAAAATTATATACTTTTTAATAGAATCATCTTATCCAGATGATAGTGATGACGATGATTTATCGAGTGCTCCGAGCTTAAATCAATCAATTATTTCATTATCAAGTGATATATTTATTGAAAATATATATGATAATGAAACAGATGAGTTATTTGAGCCATTAATAAAATATCTGATAACAGGCAGTACTTTTGAGAGTGCTCGATTGTGCGAAGCGTTACTGTAGTTGGAACATTCAACGTTGAGCATTATGCCGCATAATGCGCTCTAGTGCTGTAATTGGAAAACTACCTTTGTCATCCTTAAGTAAATAAAGCTTTTCCGTGACAGTAATGCGACACAGTAACTCTCTTAACATTACTGCCGTCGACAACCTTGACGCACAAGTAGCAATCTACCAATGCCTTTTCTGTTGAATCAAGCTATGTGGGCTTAATTTTATTGAATTTTATTGAAGATTGAAATAATTAAGAAAGAGGAGAGTGTTGAGATGAGGGCTGATGGAGGAGAATGGAATAGAAAAAATCGCTGTGCCGACTCCACCTGGTGGTACAAGGTAGAGACAAAAAAGTAAAAGACTAATGGTAGTATTTCAAAATTGTTCGTTGCATTTTTTTTAAATCTCATAAACCATAAAGAGTTTGTATTAGCTAACCATTATTATTAGTCGTGATATAAATATGTAGGCAATTACCTTAAAAATTCTCGTATTTCATCAATTTTGAGTTTTTTAATTTATCCTATTTAGAATTTAGAAAAAAATAAAAGTTTTTTTAAAAAGACGAGATTTTAAAATTTGACACTTAGCACCTTTAATACTTTAGCTTCTATTACAAGTACTGAAGTACGTAATAATTATTAATTATTTATACATAATGAATACTTTTATTTTGTATTATTTTTCTTAATTTCAATTTGTATGTATTTCCTAAGTTTCACTTTCTTTAATGCTTGGCCATTTCCTGTATCATTGACATGTCAAGCCTGGCAATACTGTCACTAGTTTGTCTTCCGGCAGCCATCTTTTTGGTTTCTCTTGTTGTCGTTGTCAGATCGGCGATTTAGTAAAAAGCCGCAAACATGGGTCGTATGCACGCTCCTGGGTAAATATATGTGTTATTAAGAGTGTAAAATTAGTTTTCAAGATGTGTAATAAGCATAAATTATACATTTCGTGTTTCGTATGATGAAAACATAACCTTTTAGTCGTGTTCACCACATGGCCTCAATGGATATGTGAAATTTTGATGTTTTCAGTAAGGGTATCTCCCAGTCGGCGCTGCCTTACCGCCGCAGTGTCCCTACCTGGTTGAAATTGACTGCCGACGATGTAAAGGAACAAATTTACAAACTTGGAAAGAAGGGTCTCACTCCCTCACAAATTGGTAAGTTATAATTCAACCAAGTATCAGCAATATTGAATATAAAATTTATTTAATGCATTCCGCCGAGCAGGTATGAATAAACGGCACAGTGGAAAATATGATCGACTTTTGTGCAAATAATTTCAAGGCTGATAGGCTTTCTCATAAATCTCCAATGTCCAAAGTTACATTACACCTAATTTGTAAAATTAATTAATAACTATGGGGCAAAATGAAAATGTATAAATATCTACTTTAATCCTGAAACCTATGTATTAGTAAATGGAACCATTATTAATGTATTCATAAATAATTGCTAATGTTAGGGAATACGCATATATAATATGTAATAATTCCATAATATTATAAGTTTGTTACAAAATGGCTGCTAGGATCTAGTTAACATGAATCAAACCTAAATGTTTACATCATCATGTTCATCATTCATCATACTAGATTGAAGGGAAACAGTGACAATGTCCTTTTGGAAAATATGGATTACTAACAAAATATAAGAAGCATAAAATCATCTCAAGCCCTCATCATCATTAACAGCCTATTTTAGTCTACTATTGGACAAACTCTTCATAAGGCATGATATGTGACCTGATCAAACCCTACCCTTTATTAAAAAACCATTATGCCAATGATATTTAAACTTCAAATACATATACTATTTATTAGTGACTACTCTATTAAGTCATATGCGATGTTCCTAGCCTTAGAACTGTTTAAAAAAGTTAGCACAATTACTATTCTCAATATATTTTTTATTTTACTGTGTAAGAACAGTGAAAGAGCTCACGGCTCAGCTAAAGTTAAATGCTTATCAGAATCCATGCTGTAAAGATATAAATGCTGTACTGCATCTGAAAGTTCAGATATGAGGTCAGTCTCGAGTTTATTGTAAATCAGCTGAGCCATATTTCAATGCTTGCTTGCATTGAGGTAGAAATGGCAGATTTTTTTATTCCTTAGATAGGTGGACGAGCTCACAGCCCACCTGGTGTTAAGTGGTTATTGGAGCCCATAGACATCGACAACGTAAATGCGCCAACCAACTTGAGATATAAGTTCTAAGGTCTCAAGTATAGTTACAACGGCTGCCCCACCCTTCAAACCAAAATGCATTACTACTTCACGGCAGAAATAGGCGGGGTGGTGTACCTACCCGCGCGGACTTATAAGAGGTCCTACCATCAGTAAACGTAAATGTAATAATCATGTTACCTACCTGAATAAGCTCACATTAGCTCCTGCAACAAGTTAAACTGTAGCTGTTACTACTCCACTCATGGAAATCTTGTCAAAGTTTCAAATATCAGTATTTCATCAATCATCATCATATTTAGATTTAAAACTCGAGGATCTTATATGTTATTTCTACATTAATTAGTAGAATGAGTGTGAGGTCCATCTGGTATGAAATGGTAAATGTAACAATGCTAAGCCTACCAACTCAAATTATAAAAATTTAGAGGGTTAATTCTGATAACTGCTCAACAAGATAATTTGTTTTTATAACAAATATTAAAATAAAAAAGGATAAAGCTCATAACAACCATATTTTTTATTTCCAGGTGTAATGCTGAGGGATTCACATGGAGTTGCCCAAGTAAGATTCGTAACTGGCAAAAAGATCCTCCGTATCATGAAGGCAATGGGTCTAGCTCCTGACTTACCGGAGGATCTTTACTACCTGATCAAGAAAGCTGTTGCAATGAGGAAGCACTTGGAACGCAACAGGAAAGACAAAGACAGCAAATTCAGGCTTATTTTAGTAGAGTCCAGGATTCACAGACTGGCCCGTTATTACAAAACTAAGAGTGTGCTTCCTCCTAACTGGAAATATGAGTCTAGCACTGCTTCAGCTCTTGTGGCTTAAGTTTTAATAAATAATTTAAAAAATAAATGGTCTATTTATTTTGTTCACCTAACTAAATCCAATTTAATCTGATTTCACAAGTTTTTCTTTTCCAATTGAGCTGTATTGTTTTACATTTAAGTGTTTATTAATAATATTTAATAAACATAGTTTATTCAGGGTTCAAATATGATTAGTAAATTATTGAAGAAAAACTTCAAATGATTCAATTGTTTATGTAGGTACCTTAATAAAAATTTCAACCTACCCCTGAAGTGATCCTTGTGCACACAGCCTTTGTGTAAATTGATGTCTACACTTTGTGAGCAACTAAAACATTAACATCCTTATATCAAAAAGCAACATTAAAAAAGTGTAGTCACTGTGATCAATCACTAGAATCAGTTTTGAACTACGTATACATTGCCTTGTATCTAAAAAAATTATCCCTACACTTTTCTCACTGCTGCTTGGATTTTGGAGCCATGGAAAAATCATTGCAGATAGAAACTAAAAAGTTTTGGCAACACATTACAGTATAACAGACACATTAGTTAACAATATTTAGGTCCTAATACTCTAGTAATGTTCGTGACATTTAGTGTCGATTTTCAAGCATGAAATGCTAAAAAAACATCAGTTTATTATTATTTATTTATTAATAATAAAATATCACAAGAAGGTTCAGTATAATAATTATATTCATTTAATTATAACAATAATGAATCAATTTCATTTTTGATGAAATTCCATACATACAGGTATTATTAAACATATGGATTCCAATTACTACCATCTTCAGGGTGTAGGCTGTTGGTAATCAATAACACTACATCAACGATCCACCAAATACCAAGCCCTCCTAGGGTCAAAAGTTTCCCCACAGCTGTTCCTGTTTGACCAAGACAAAATCTATCCATACCTAGGAATCCTAACAAGATGCTATAAATCAAGGTGGTCGTAAAGTAATGTCCAGAGTATCGCACACACGGGAAACCGTCACGCGGAAAGCTTCGACTGCCATAACATTCAATTCCATCCAAGGCTTTGCACTGAACTTTAGCTTTCTCAACTTGATCATATCGGACACCTCCAAATTTGACGCAACCATGGCCTGTGGCTTGCCGGGCGGTGTGATTCCCTTTATGGTCGATAGGTTCGTCGCAATCTAGGAATTCCAGCGGTAGATATGAACATTTAACTAAAGGACCGAGTGGCCTATATGGTTCTTTTGAAATTGGATCGCTTTCAGATTTTGCCTTAATTATCCCTGTTATAAACAATACTGTTACAGCTGTTGACTTTGTTATCAGTGCCATTATATCACCATAAACATTGTATTCAAATGTATTTCAACAAATAGAACTCACTATGTCAATATAACATTTTACGTCAATAAACATGCCAAAAAAACTAGGTACCATGACATGGGGTAAATTGGGATCCTGGGGTAAATTGGGACAAACCTGCGGAAGATTCTCAAAGTACCTGTAGCACGGAATCTACCTAATTTTGTTTATGTTAATATTTATCAATGTATAGAAGAAAAAGCAAGTTAACTATGGAAGTACTAAATATGAGTTAAGTTGGTCCCAAAAATTCGTCAAATTAAATTGAAAATAGTGGTTGAAAAGTGCGTTTTAAAACAGCTTAAAGAACTTTTAAAAAAAGTAATATTATCGTTGTTTTTTCAATAAGATCACAGTTTATATAAGTTTTTAATACACCTGGAAATACCACAACAAACGGTAAGTTGCAATATTCTTATTTTAAATACAATATTTCGACAAAATAAAAAATGTATATTTTTTCCTTTCTTTTTGGGGAAAATTGGGACGTATGTAGGGTAATTGGGAACGAGACTGGAAAACTTAGGGACGAGAAAACACAAAATTGGAACGCCAAAAGACAAAATAGGGATGGCTTGTTAGGGTTGTCACTGATATCTAATAATAGATTTTTTAGCCTATACTATCACTTAATTGCGTGATGTAAAGAAGGTTAATGTGTTTATCAGTTAGTTTATGTAAGTATTATAGGTAAAAGAAAAGTATATATATAATTACTTTTTTTTCGCGACATTTACCTTGTAATATCTGCCCGGTCGTATGTTCTTTATAGCAATAAAAAAAATTAAAAGTTAAAAGAACTCAAACGAATCAAAACTTTTGTTATTTCAGAATCTATTCACGCGTCGAATCATGATTTTGTTAACATTCAAAACGCACACACAAATAAAAACAGGCCTCAGATTTTAAATGTAACATTAATTAAAAATCCGAGATATCCAATTATGAGTGAGTGAATTAATTGAGTTTAGTTATTTAGCTTAGAAAGAATTTCTTTTATTTTTGTTATTATTGGCAGTAATCAGATAAAGCTGTTTTTTTATCTTATTCACCTGATATCTTACTCTTGCTCAAAGATTATTTTGAAAATGTTGATTAAATAAAATTGTATTATTGCATTTCCAGTCCTTTTGTTTTCTATTTTTTATTCTATTTTATCATTTTGTTTCAGAGTTGTGATTTTTAAGGAAATTAAATAATAATTTTCTAAAATATAACATGCACATACTTTTTTTGATCAATTTATTGTTGATTATCATTCACGTCACATCGCTTCGGAATAGAAACCAGCTTAATTTACACTATGTTGTGTATTGTGCTTAAATTATGGATTGTATTCATCATTTCGGTCCATATAAATAATTATATGGCACCTACCTATATATCGCAGTACTGCGAGTTGACAACCCTTACAAATATCCCAATTTAACCCTTAACCGTGTCAATTTACCCCGGACGCTGGGTAAATTGGGACGGCCATTATTTTACCGATTATTTCTTTAAAATTAATAATTATAATTATGTAACGGTTTTTATCACCTAGGTACGTTCAAGACTCAATTTATTTCTTTGGTTGAGCAGTGACTATTTAATTGGAACTATGTTAAAATTCAATCTGAAGTTCGATTTTGTCCCTATTTACCCCATTTTACGGTACCATAGACCTATACATAGATTAAACACTTATGGACCTATATACTGTCCGCGCGCGAGCTCCGATGATTTTTAAGGAATGTTGACGTAATGAGCTAGTGTTGTATTAGTCGATATTGCGCTATCGATACTAATACATCGGTTTGACTCTGATTCCTTGGGAAAAGGGACGCTGCTTGTTATGGGATGCAACCTGTAGCTGTACGTACGCGGCGTGTCATTTATCTGGGACCCGACAATGTGCGGGCTTTGCTGCTGAGGCGTCGGCTAAAACGAAGCATGCCAAGTACGATGCTCTGAAATCTACATACCTGTTTGTTCCAGTGGCAGTGGAAACGA